CACTGCCGCTGGCGTACGCTGGAAGCGCTACGCTACGCTGCCGCAAAGTATAAACGCAGCCTAACTAAATGATTTATGATGCGAAATTGGTAAAAGATTGTCCAGCGCAGCCCACACTACCTGTCTCGCACAGAACTTAGATACTTATGAAGTGTCGAAATGTGCCTTTGAATCAGAATTGCTATCAGGCATATACTCGCGCTGTAATGACGTCGAAATTGGTAAAAGAAATAAGATTCTGTGGCACTACTGAACTATGCCAATATGGCGCCAAATTGGCGCGTAATGGCGCCAAATGGCGCCAGCGCCAAAAATAAATGTTGGATTCGTAATCAGGACCTCAATTAACCCCCATATGCAAGTTTTCATCGACTTTGGTGAAAAAAGTGGTGGGCGCCAAATTGGCGCATAATGGCGCCAAATGACGCCCACCAGGCAAAGTTTCAGCAAGAAAAATTTTTTTGAGTTTTTGGGGTAGGAATAGTTCGTTCAATAGTGCCGAAAATTCTAATCACCAGGTGTGGGTCAGGAGATCCGAATTGCGAGTACATGCAGAAAATAACTCAGTGGGCGCGGTTTCCAGACTGATTACATTGCTCTTCTTAACCGTCAAACATCGGTGTCTGGACATCCGTGTCAAATCGATTGGTGAATGCAACCGTGATCTTACTCACTGCGTCGGTATCGCCTCGCCGCCGCTACTCGGATCTCCTGACCCACACCTATGTAACTCCAACAGTGTCAAAGAAAAGACTGGTTTATTTTTAGATGCTTCGGAATCTACAACATCTGATATGAATTGCTTTGTATCCACTGGGTGGGTATGTGACAAGAAAATCGCAGCGTGCCGCGTTGGGCGTGGCGAACGACGCCACGCAAGCGAAACCCCCCCTCCTTTTATTTGAATTTGAATGTTTTAAAGTCAGGAAAAATTTATATTATTAGGCATGGAGTCTTGCATCCGCTTGAGTTCGCATGAGTTTCGCTGCTTGTGACAAACTAATACTCGTAGAAAATGTACCGCGCACCGCCGCACGATGCGCCGCGTGCGACGTCGCAGCTTACGATTGTCTTGTCCGTCTCTCGCGCTCATTTAGCAGCCTTCAAAAATGCGTTAACGAGAATGTGCTTGAACAACTCACACTCTCGAGCTGTGCTCGCAGTACGAGATCGGATTTACAGAATGGGTAGATAGTCGACGGCAAGAGGTCGAAATGTGAATCGTTGTCGAATCGCTCCGATCGTATGAACGAAGCTTGTGAGAATTGTCGAGGATTACGGCGCCATTCCTGAAACAGGGATATTGATAAGTGAGGGCATGGGTGATGGTCTGAACTCCTGACAGGTCAGGCAACCATGTGATCCTTTGGTTTCGTTTAAAGGCAGTTGGCACGATGGTTTCTTACTTAGCCTAAAATGCTAGTAGGGCGCTGTATAGTGGGGAAATGGCGAAAGAACGGAGTGAAACGGTCAAAATCCTGCGAAGAAAAAGCCTCCGTTCTCAGTGACTTGTAAATCGATTTCGGACGAGTTTCCCGTAGGCATCTTACCAATCACCGCTACCGAAGATACGGCTGCATATGTGTACCCATATATGCATGCAGCATCACGGCCGCTTCATACCAATCCCTTCGCTTCATAATTTGCTTAGCAAATGAATGAATACGAGCGTCAGGAACGGTCGTCCATTTGGGCGGGGGCGTGGCGGGCGTTTGGGACGTAAAGTTGTGGCTTGATAGGGCCCTTATAAGGGCACCTTCCTCGGGGAAACCGCTATGCAGCGCCTGCCCAGGGTCGCGGAATTCTATCCTGCCAGGAATTGGTGTGAGTGAACAGCGTTTAAGCATATGCGTCAATTCTTCTTAATTTTATCAAGCTTTTTTGGCTAGTTTCGTATTTTTCGGCTTTACATGTTCGAGTGTCATACCCGTATGAAATTCGTGAGTCCACGGAAGGACACCTCTTCGACGGTGGAAAGGCTGATGGCATCGCAGTCCGATGAGAGAAAGATGTTGAGCAGTGCATCGCCAACATCATTCGCTGTGTCCTCATTCCTGAAAGAAGCAAGTTCCCCATATCTTAATATGAAATCCTCCTAATTTTCCTTAATTGAGAAAACTGCCCAACCCCTTCGTGAAACTTTGATCATCTTCGATTCGGAATGAGCGTGAGGCGATTTGAGACTGTAAGAAGAAGCGAGCCACTGAATCGGCCGGAAAGACGCATTCTTTGAGCTGAAATGAACACAATGAGGGTAAAGACGTAGAGAATCACTCTTCTTTACTTCACTTTTTACTTGTTACTCGACCACTTCTGCTCAGGGTACAGTATCGTGGAGAGAATCCCATCAGGGGGGGGGTCGTATTTTGTGGCTGGAGAAGGGGATCATACTTATGTGAGACTTGAGAGAACGTTGTTCAGGCTGTGAAGGAAACCTTTCTGTTGCTAGCTTTTCCCGTTTCACACGCGCTATATATAACCAACCGCCTTGACGGGTCAGGGCACACCTTTGTTGGGGAATCCCCAATAGGGGGAGGGGGGGGGGGGGTCGTATTTGGGCTGGAAAAATTTATTTTGATAGTTGATTTTTCTCGCTTCACGGACGTTGTAAAGGGAGGGGGGGTCGTATTTACGTTTTGGCGTTGTGAGGAGCATGTTTGACCTTTGCGTATTATATACACTCCTTATCCCTGAGCCAGAGTAGGCGTGGCATTTGAACATGGCACGGAACTGGTTACTCGTGGAATATTCCAGTCTGGGACAACTGTCATCTTGTTCTGTGTTGGACAGAGACACGACAACAATTGTGTCAAGATGAAAATATCTCACCAGAAGCATAGACACCTTCAGGTTAGGTTGAAGCATGCGGCCACGCCTACCCGATCTCAGGGATTTCGAGTATATCTCCCCGCTTGACAGCAAAATTTTTGGGAAAAAGTGGGGAAGTTTTCGGGAATTTGGGAAAAAGTGGCAGAAAGTTGGGGAAGTTGGGGAAAATCTGAGAATTGGTAGAAGGGGGGGGGGGGTCGTATTGTCTTGCGGCTTTTTTCCGTTTCAAATGTGCTATGTGCTATTTACCCCTCTCCCCCCCCCCCTCCCCCGCTCGACGGCTCGATTCGATGAGAAGGGGGGGGGGTCGTACAGACTCGACTAAAATCCCCAGCCAATGATGTGCCCTGTGAGGGAAGACTGGTAGAATTTTCGAGAAATTAGTGGTAGAGATGGAAAAATCTGCCACCCTGATAAGGCAGTGGGCACGTCGTGAGGGGGAGGGGGTCGTTCTGGTGGAAGAGGGTTCGTGGGAGGGTCGCATTAACACCTCCATGACACCCACTCCCATGCCGTACCCCGCTCCAGCTACACCATAACTCTGAAAGTTAATATTCAAATTACTATTTCAAAGCTCCTAATCAATCGATAATCCGATGGCTCACCTTTAACAGCGGTATTGATCGAACCGGTGTCAGCATAATAACCACTTGTGTAATGTCAGAATCAGAGAAGCAGAGTGATTTGAAAGTCAATGAACATTCAGCATCCAGGGGTAATAAACGTGCCGCATGAAGCAATAGCGGTATATCCCCGTCAGGAGCACTTTCGAGAATCAAGCCTTTGACGGCAAGTTCCTTGAAGCGATAGAACTCGTCCAATTCGGACGAGATTATGGCGAATCGTCTGAAAGTAGCAGATTTTGTATTGATAAGGACTGATGACTTTGATGCATATATTGAATAAGAAGAAAGATAACGCAATGACAGGGTGGTTCCTCATGTTTGCATAGTCCATGAGAATGAGTCCCCCCTTTAGCCAATCATGTTTTCAGCAGGGCACGTCGTCCTCTTGGGGAGAGATTTTACATGATACGACCTCCTTCCCTAATTTTCTTGTCTAGTACGGACCTCCCTCATCCCCTATTCCGCCTGCCAGTTTCCATAACTCTCCTAACTTCCCCAAATGGCTACCTTTTTCTGGAACTTTTTTCTGAATTTCAAGAGTTTTCTCCACAAAACTGCCGTCAAGCCAAGGGACGGGGAGACGGCCAGGGATGGGAGACGGTACATCATTTTTTAATCAAAACTTCTATCAATACAGTAACGGTCCTTGCAGAGATTTAGATTCACCTGATAGAGCATTCAAATGCTTCCACCATTCTGAATGGAAATCTCACGCATGGCGCATCCCTCAATCGCCAATCAATATCGTTGTTCCACCGTCATACAAGCTCCACAATGTACCATTTTTTTGAGGCGAAATGGGAATAGTCGGGCATGTTAATGTAAATTTTCAGAAAAGGGGGACCATTCGAGAAGCGAAGGTAAGCTGGAGGGAATGAAGTGGGTGTTCTTAGACCAGCAATTTTTTCGCAGAAATTAGGATATTATCAGGATTCGAAAAGTGAACTTTCCAATTAGAAAATAATAACCATTTATTGAAAGGTGTGAAAAAAGGCTTTAAAAGTAACAAATAAGCGCTTCAAGACATCTCGTTTGCAGGCGTTTTTCGCTAGTGTAGGGGTGAAATTCCCGAATTTCCGAGTCGAGCAATGCGAGTTCGAATCCCATCGGTCTTAAGACTTTGCAAACACAGTGCCGTGCTGACAGTTTTGGCCGAACGACTGACGGTGCCGAGCGCAGGCGCTGTTGGTCGCATCATCCCACTGTTTAAGCGAGGTGTGGTGCGAGCGGATCATCATTTGCGCTTCCGTGTTGTAGCGCTTTTTAACACCCTTGGACTTTGAATCCAGTAACGCGAGTTCGAATCTCGCCGGAACCTGATCTTTTGCAAACACCCTATTGGTCAAGAATTTACTTCTCTTTTTACATAGATCGCGGAATGGTCGTCGATGCTCGAATAAAGCAGAGTGCCACTGTTTTGGTACTTTTCCAAGGCGTTGTAGCTAACAAAAGGTCTTAAAAGGAAACTTGGGCAGACTTTCTCGCAAAGTCACAGTTAGGATTTCTATGAATTTCTTAATCTTGTCTCCATATAGCGCTATGTGACAGGGCTTAAATCTGACTGAATCAAACTCCATAGATCAAGGATGGGTGAAGATGAAGGACCGCAGAAATAATAACTAATAAATGGCCCAACCTGGGTTTATCCAGTGAGAATTGTGCTTTGTAGACATCGATAATGAATCCGTGTTCTTCGGCTCGTACACGTAGAAGGACCGGTGTCTTCCGTAGGCAGCTACGATTATTGGTGACAAATTCGTAATCACGACGTTGCACGGCACGAAGTGACTTTAGGTCCTGAAATATCTACTAATTTAGTGACTATTGTAAATGGAATTCTTGAAAATGGGTTTGTTTGTTTGTTTATTAGCAGGCCTACAGGTATTGTTGTCTCGTATTGTTGCAGTCAGAACCAAGAGCAGGTTACGTGGGTGTACTTCCCTCGTCTACTTTGAGAGGAGGGCGGGTCGCCTTTTCCGACACCAATCAAGAAGAGGGGGCGATCTTTTTATCTTGCTCCAATGCATATCCCATATACTTTCATCAGCTCTAATCGGCTTGGAAGGGGCATTCTGCACTTTCTATGGTTACTGCTGTTAGTTCATGTTGACTCACAGGGTTCACTTTGATGAAACCTGTAAACTCTTGCGAAGCTGCGAAATGGAGCAAGCGAGCCACATTGGTCACAGGCATTACAAGTCTTCACAAGATGGCCTGTTCAGGCTTCGTTAAGTACCTCAAGGTGCCCCTCCAGGCCAAATTGCGCCTGGTTTTTTTTGATATTTTGTGTTGGTTTCAATTTTTTAAGTGCTACTTTTCATTTTTTAGCCGTTTGGTGTTTGTCATCCGCTAAACTATTTTTTTTCAAGCCAAGTGGCGCGTTTAGGTGTAAATTAATAAGTAACTGAATAAAATTCAAATCAGGAGCTAATTAAAGGAAGCCAGGCGATACAGTACAAAGGCGATAATGATCTACAGTGATCCGAGGGTGGTCTGCTCTCCGATAACGTGAGCCATTTTTCCCTTCAATAACTGTTCTAGCAACGTGGATTCCTTCCTTATTCGTTTGTTAAGTGCAAAAGAGTCTCCTTCATGACTTCACTTCTATATTTATCCCCGAATGGATCCGGGGGAAGCTCATGCGGTGGCGAAACCATGTGGAAATTCAGAGGTTAGTCGACTTTGCCCTTCTCTAGTCACTATCGATTTTGTGCAGTCTTTCACCTCATAAACGTTGAAAATGGACTATTTTGAGTGGATTTTGCTGAATTTTCTTCCCTCAACACGTTGACGACAATCGCGTTTTGCGGGAAAGCGCCGCGGACAATGGCGTGTTTTCGCATGCGTCCGCTATGAGCCACCGGTGGCTCATATTGTCCCTCGTGGACCACTTTTTTGCCGCTATGTCAAATTTCGCAAAATGAGTCGTGCAGGGACTGCTATTTCAACCATCCTTGACCCTATGGATGCCATCTCATGCCCCGCCCTCTGCGATCACGCCCACTTTTTAGCGCGATCGTGATTTCCAAAATCTGTGCTATAACTTCTGTTTCTAAGGTTTTTTTTGGAATTTTCTGCTTTTCACACATTATAATGATTCATAGATGGGTGAACCCAGGTGTTCAAAGTGGTACCTAGTTCGGTGCCAAAAAGATGCTGGCGCCAAAGTGGCGCCCGGTGGCGCCAACACTGAAAGGCAACGATATATTCGTGACAAGGATGTCAAATAACCTAGCTATGGAGGTTTCTATCGCATTCGGTGCTAAAGGACTGCTAGCGCCGAAATGGCGCCTGCTGGCGCCATATGGAAAAAAAAGATCGATTGAGACTGTCGGCAATACCCCGAAAGGTGGTGGGGAATGTTTTGAGCCACGGTGGCTCATATTGTCCCACGTGGCCACTCACTTATGAACAACCGGTGGCTCATAATGTCGTCATCGTGTTAATCAGGAGCGTTCTGGACAAGTAATCAATTCCGAATAGAGGCTACCCAAGGCTTTACTGTAATAAAAAGAAGCATTTTGGTGCAGGATTCCAAGGCATTCAAATTTACTATGAGTTTTTCTCTTCCATTGTAGATGTTCACCGAAAAGCGATACCCATTTTGTTTCTCTCATGGCTTCTCGGGAAATACAAGAAAGCCCGTTTTGCGCAAATGACTTGGGTCACCACACTCCCCGTTAGCATGGGAGAATCTTCATCCTGGCCCGCGATCATTTTTTCGCACTCACGAGCACATGCCGTCCAGAAATCAAGAAACTGAAAAAAATACATAGAAAGGAAGCTAATCAAGTTCTGTAGTTTCAAATACTCCCTGTGTAGTTTTCGAGTCACCGTAATTCGCACCAACCTTTGCACCAAATGCCCCACCTTACTGGAAGGACGCCATTAAGGAAGTCTAGTTCGCTGCGGAGGGGCATGTCAGGCAGTTGCTGAAGTGAGCAAGTGACAAGACTATATCATATCGTTCGCATCCTCGTTTTCGGCCGATTTCTACCTGCCTCAACGACTAGCAGAGGACGGGTTTGGCGCCGTGGGCAGCAGTTTCATTTTTTACGGGATTTTTCGCCAATGATATGCATATTTCAAATTTTCAAAGTACTGTTCAACCCTAACTCGAGCCTCCATTCCCCACAAGGATAGAGTCTTTGTAGGCGTTCATGACTACACACAACAACAAGAATGCTGAGTTATGGGCAAAAGTCGAACCCCAGGCGGGAGTCGCACCTCACGCTTTCCGGGCGAGTGCGCTATCCGTTACGCCACCAGGGCCGCTTTTACCCTCTCAGCTTAACGGCTTTTATGCCGTAGCCTTCAGCACTCACACGTTTAACTTGGTGAGCCGGTCAGCCGTAATCGTTAGATATCGGCATGGAACCGCT